GCAGCCTCGGCAGGCTCGTGGCCGAGCCAGCGCCCGACTGCCCGGCCAGAGCAGGCCAGCGGTCCGGTCCAGACCGGTTCAATCCAGTTCAGACCGGTTGGACCGGTTCAGGCTATATTTTTATGTTTTAAGTTCTATTTTCAGTTAAGTTCCAGGTCCAGTCAGTCAGTTCAGTGTAATAAGTTAAGTTATCAGTTCAGTATTTTCAGTCTAGTCTGTTAGTCAGTTCAGTTCAGTATTTTAGTTGAATTTTCAGTTCAGTTAGGAGCAGTCATGTGCAGTCAGTCAGTTCAGTTTAGTAGTACCAGTTCAGTCCAGTCTTTCTTATCAGTTAAGTTAGACCCCGAGATGGTTCCCGTTAACTATTCAGATCGAGTCGAGCATCTTAACAACTATTTTAGTCAGTCTGAGCATAGTATTTAGTATTTGTTTATATTTGTCAGTTTTGCAGGCAATCAGCACTTACATTTTCAGATCAGCAGTTCAGGTGGGGACTCAGACTAAGTACTACATTGATTATAATTACGCTACCATGTTTGAGGTATGTATTATCAGTATCCGCTCAGAATGGTCGCCGGTCCATTCTGGGTTCTAGTGGCCTTAATCTGCCCACTAGAGTGTGGACATGGTGTCCGGCTATGCCGACAGATGTTCAGTTATCAGTCCGGTGATTTATATCACGAGATTAGTATCAGATTATTCAGTACCGGTATCATATATCAGTTATCAATTTCAGTATCAGTTCAGTTATATATGCCAGGATCATGATATTGTTATCATATTCACTGTTTTACTTTAGTATGAGTTTTTGCGGAGCACAGTGTTTTAATGCTAACGCCCCCACATTATTCATGTTTTTCAGGTCACAGAGTCGGAGACGAGGAGTGAGCTGGCGAGCGGTTCAGGATATTTGTTTATATGTATATTTTATGTTTTGGCTACACTAATATTTCCGCTACTGTTCAGTTTTTACAAACCAGCTTTTGATCCGACACTAGTCGGTTAATATATTAGATAACCGTTTTTATTATCAGTTTAAAATTAACAGTTTTCAGAAAAAAGAAATATTTTATTTTATTTAGAAAATTTGTGAAAAAAGCGCACTCAGATTTTCATGAAAAGGCGGGGTGTTACAGATGGTATCAGAGCACGTTTTTGCGTCTCTGAAAATTTTCACGATTCAGAAATTTTACGAAAACCTGAACACGTAACGCTCACGCCTCGCCGACTACAGGTAAGTGCTGATTTATGTTTTCAGATTATAAACAAATTACTATGTCTATGCTCAGAAATTTCTCAGTTATGATTTAGTTAAGATGCTCGAATCATGTTCAGGATCAGTAGTCAGTATACTCATAATTTAGAGTCAGTATTCCCCAGTCATGTTTAGCAACTCGTCAAGAAATTTGCGTGCTTTATTGATCAGCTTCAATAAAGTCATCAGTAAGGATGTTTGAATCAGAATTCAGAACCTTAGAAAGGGGCTCAATTAGAGAACTCTAGATTAAATTCTAGATTTATTCAGGTCGAGTTTACAACTCGTCAAGAAATTTATAAGCACTTATGTTATACAAATCTTAGCAATCATGTTCCTCAGACATTTTCTATCGGAAATTTGTTCATTTTTCCAACCAGTTGGCACGTCCCAAGAAAGAATTCCTTGAGTTAGATCAGGGAATAAGCTCAATATTCCTAAATCAGGTCAGTAAATCAAGTTCAGGGCGAGATTTTTATGCTAAAGGTAATTCGCAAGTCATTATTAAAGTAACGGTTTCCAGCGTATAAGAGCCAATAGTCCGGGTTACCATGGAGGCTTGAAATAAGAGCCACTCAGCCGGGTATACAATGGAGGCTTGAAGCTGGGACCGGAGCAGTATGATTCCGTATAATCACAACCTTTAAAGTTAGTCATGTCATATATTTTGTCAGTCAGGATACTTCAAGTTAAAGTTCTCAAAGATCAAGATCAGCTAATTCCTTTGTACTTGCGGGACCAGTTAATACTAGAACAGCCCTATACAGTACATAATCATGAGTCGATGTTCAAGATTTAAAGTTAATGTTCATGATTTAAGGTCGGCGTAAAATAGTTGTTCAGCCGGGTTAAATATGGAGGTCTACAATACAGACTATTAATCCAATTCTACCTGGAAACTTGAAGTCGTACCTTATCAAGTCAAGTAAATCAGTAAATGTCATGTTCCCAAATTCCGAGGCAACTATTTAGTTGTCTCCGGATAGCTTTCAGAGTTCAGGTAAAGATGATCCAGTCATATAAAAGTCAAGTCATGGTTATCCAGTTTTGAGAATATTCAGGCTAGTTATGCCAAACTCAAAGATAGTCTGTCGAATAAGACGTATCAGTCATTTTAAGTATAATCAGTGCCTCGATTCTCAAATTCAGAAAATTTGAGAAATCGCAGGAAAGATTAGCTCATGATAGACTTTTCTTGAGGTTATGTTAAACCTCAAAGAAGGTAAAGATTTGCAGGTACAACGGAGAAGGATCAACCAACAACAACAGATAATACCATAGAGACGAATCGTCGATTCCCATTCAAGGATGCATGTCGCAAGAAGAGAAGGATGCCATGCCTGAGCCACAGTACACTGGGAAGTCACAGAGAGTTAGAATTATAGTACATTGAGGTTACTAGCTTGAGGTACAGATATGATCAGTTATATAGACTACATTGACGATGCTGGTGCAATGTTCGCCAGGTGCTGTATGCAGGCGTGCCGCACTCACTTGATGAGGAGCAGGTGTGCCGCATTACAATGTGCCAAGAACGATGTGCCGCGTTATCGAGTAGATGTTCACGAAAGGTAATTACCGATATTGCTAGTAATCCTCATTTGTACACATGCGTATCTCTGGAATCTTCCGTGTGTACCAATGACCGGGGTTTTCCACAACCAATGATCAGACCAAAGATCAGCAATCAGCCAAGAGGTGATGACCAATACGCTCAAGAATTTCGTTTTGAGATCATGTATAATCAATTGAACACTTTATTTCAGGAAAGTGTCCATTCTCAGTCAGCAGTATCTAACAATTCACTTAATTGTGAATTGATGACTCCTCAGTTCAGATCAAGTCCATTATTTAGTATTAAAGTACTGAACTCACAAGTCATGTAATCAGTAAGTATAAACTTTATGTTAAGCTTGTACGTCTAGTTTTAGTATTTCCGAGGACGGAAATATTTTAAGGAGGGTGGATTGTAACATCCCGAGTTTTATTAATAAAGGAAAATACTAGCTTTTAATTTTAAGCTAGCCTTTGTTAATAAATAATCATGCTCATGTTCAAGTTCAAGTTAATTAGCTAGTTATATTCCAAGTTCGACTATTAGTCGATAAATTATTCGGTTTAATTATTTCAGTAACCGAATAAGTTTCCAGATTTAATTCTGATTCGTTTATTAATTAATGAGTTCGGATTTAATAAGTTAAGTTGACGAATTATTCGAAATATTGATATTCGGATTAATCGTCCAAGTCAAGAATTCGAAATGATTATAGTTTGAATTAATTATTTTCAGTCGAGATTATCCGAAATTATTTTCGAAGTCACATTTACGTTCGGAAGAATTTCGGAAATTAAGTATCATGTTAGTTAATTAAATAAACATATAGATTATGCTTAATTAAGATTTATCATGTTTAAGTTAGTTAAAGCCGTGTGCATTATGTAGTAAGTTAGTCATTTTTGCTTAATAATGCCGTGAGCAATTTTGCACATAAGTCATGTAGATTTTCCCCATTTTTCTTCCATAAAGCCGTGAGTTATTTAGTGGTATTGGGGGGATAATTTTCTTCAATTCACTAAGCATGAGGTGTCTCATTAATAAGCCGTATTGGTGACTAAGCAAGTTTAGTGATGAGTTAGCACTTAAGTTTTCATTGGGATGACAAGTGGCATAATTAGGTTATGCCAACAATTTCTTAACCTCCTCATTTTATTTTGCTCCATTCGGTTATATATGTATATAAGAGTTATGTTGGGGAGAATTTTGCCTTCCTCACCTTATCATATATGTGTTAAGTATAGAGAGCTCCCCTTAGTTTATTGAGTACGCGCGGGAGTACCGTACACGGCATAGCACGTACGCACGGGGACTACCACAAGCATGCATGGAGGCTTGAGTTCCGAGTAATCACGAGCGATTGTTCAATCAGGCGAGCAAGGGGAGAGGTAATCGCGAGGAATATCTCTTTTCTATATCAGTAGCATCATGTTCAGCTTATGTCATGTTAACCGATTTCAAGTATTGGCCTTAAGTTGCGTTCGCCGTGCGTATATAGTCCGTGTCGAGAATGTCATGTTCTAATTCAAATCTCTCGAGCAAACTTCATGTATTCAGTCATTTCATGCTATATTATGTTCAGTTAAACTCATGTTGTTCGCACAATTTTCATGATTTGTCGAGTAATTGGCCGAGGAGCGTGGTCGCGCATGTAGTGCGCACCACGGGCCGTACATGCGTAGCGATTATGTTAAGTAATAGTCCATCGAGCATTCATGTCAATTTATTCAGTAAATATTATATTTTGATCAGTTACATGTTAGTTGCCGAGAGAAATTTATGTTCGGTCGAGAAGCGGCTTAACGTCGTAGGCGGCGCGCGGTGCGCATGCCACGGCCATGTTTAGCTTCTTGTGGAAAATTCATGATTTTAAGTAATTTCAGTATATTTGATCATGTCAAGTCAGTTCATGATATTTGATGTTGAGTTGCTCGAGAAAA